TATTACTTTGCTGAGGTCGAACTTTAAAATGAAATTGTTTGTTAAAAAATATCCTGAACGTTAATTGGAACAGTTTATTTTTAAAACGCAACTGTTAGTAGGACTTACAAAAAAAGTACTGTTAGTTTTGTAAATTTCGGAGAACTGTCGCTACGCTACATTTTTACAGCCATAAGCATCTACATACTTAGCCAGACAACCTTAGGTTCTTGTACCAAAACAGGTTAATTTCTATTAAGTTAGTACTTAGTTGTCATGAAAGTTTACGATTAAATCCTATCCTATGTTGTTATACCAGTTTCTCATAGGCAGGAATAGAAATCTGTTAAAGAATATTGTTACTCCAGGATGATCTGAATCATTCATGAAAACACCATCCAAGCATAGCGTTTTTTAAAGACGTTTAAGAAAATCTTTGATTTTTAAAAATAAATATCTTGCATGCACTGTAGGCTACATGTTGCCTTCTGCTATTTTGTAATGTTAAAATAAAAATTTCTTCTTGTGTATTTTCTTTAACAAGTATGAACAACTAGGTAAATTCATAATGACGTAATGACGTAAAAGTTAATAAAATTGAAATTTATAATGCAAAAGTTAATACGAGTATAAACTGTTTGTTTACAAGTCTTGATAGTCTTGCCCTCAAGATCATAAAGTGTTTAGAGTTGGTGTCTTCGAGATGATCGGAAACTAATATTAATATTAAACATACATATGTCAGATACGACCATAACTTCTACTTATACAAATAAAAAAAATTGAAGTGTCTGTTTGTAATGTCAAAATAATAGGTTTTTTTCATGCTCACGCGGTTATTTGCACGTCACCTATGCCTAAAAAGCAGTTTTAATATTTTTTGTCTATGTGTCTGTCTTTCTGTCTGTTGTCTCGGGTAATCTTCAAAACGGCTGGACCGATTTTGATAATATTTTACCACCGGGTAGCAGTCTATATAAGGAGTAACTTAGGCTATTTATTATCTCAAAATAAGCTTATAACATTTTGCCCGGTCCGGGAGTCGAACCTCCTAAGGCAGCGCTTTTCGAATTCCACGCGCACGTAGTCAGCGGCACCAGCTAGTGTGTAATAAATACATATGATAACTGATCCCAAACTAGGCGGAGCCCGTACTATGGTACGGGTTACCAGACTGCTGATAAACATACTTAGGTATATTACCTACCCATATTTCTAAATTCATTATAAAAACTAGGCACAGTAAATATAAGTCCCAAGAACAACATAGAATGTAACTCGGGATGTAACCTTTCAGTCTGTCAGTACTTTTTATGACCTTCAGTATTATTCTCTTTTAGGATATTTCTAATCTGTCTTCCTTCAGAATATTACCAGTTCAATTAGTATGTTCGCCGTGGCTGACTTCTACTGGTTTACCACTTACCGCCTGCCTTAAACATACATCTACTTGTTTTTAATTTTTTCCACACTAAGTCCTTGTACGTGCCCAAAACCACCGCAGAATACCCTTTTAAATTTTTGTCACTACGTTACGTCTTTCAAGCCTCATTTTTTTAAAGTATTTTTTTCTATAATCTTACATTCACCTTCCGAAAGCTATCTGCCTGTGATATAAAAACTTTCTAAGGATCTATGACAACAATGTATAATAACGTTGTTCCATATTTTTTCTTACTAGACCAGACCCTTTTATTTTGTGCTGTTTTTTGTTTTCTTATTAAAAACGGTCTAAGCTCTGGTCTTAATCTTTTCTGTGTAAATGTTATGTTTTTGCGTGTATTATAATGTTATTGTTTCATGTTTTTGCATGGAATTTTAATGACCGTCCCTGTGGTGACGGATTAAGAATACGGAGTGCCACCACTCCTATTTATCTCATGGGTCTCGTAAGAGCCGACTCAGGGAGCAAACTAAGAAAGGACAATAGCACTGCAAAGACAAGGAAAACTTGCAACAAATCCTATACCAACCCGTCTGGCCAGCATAGTATAGTAGGCCAAAACCTTCTTACTTAAGACCTCTATAGGTCTCTATGTCCAGCTATGGACTGGTATGCCTATACCAGTCCATAGCTGGACATGATATAGTAAATTATTAAACACTTAATCCTCGGCTATTTTTGCAGTATTGATAGTTTTAAAATTTAAATTTACTAAACTTCTTCTTGTGATACAGTATATTTATTGAAATTATTTCGTTGAAAAGCCCTTAGTGATCTTTGTAAAAAACTAAAACTAAACTTGTATCTTTGGTATATCTGTTTTACCACCAACACAGTTAATATACTTCTTAACGTTTCTCAGCCCCTAATTAGTTGCCGGCATGTAATACAATAGAACATTTGAATAAAGATCTTAAGCATGTAGGACAATGAAGGCGGGTGGGCCAACCCATGCAGCCAACCCGTGCTGCCTTTGCATATGCAAAGTAGTGAGCGGTTGCATCGTAGTCGGCGCGGCGCTTTGATGTAACGGTTGGTAGATGCGAACAAATTTAAACTTAGTGTCAATACATTAGAGGAGAGCGGCGTCGCGACTGATGTCAGTGGAGATGTGTTTGAATAATAAGTGCGTGGGTCCACAATATACATTGCTATCTTGCTCCACTCGATTATACATTTAATATATTACATTAGTTTTTATTTTTTTATTTTGACATATTAATAATTTGAAAACAACACGTGTTCTAAAATGAGAGGACCAGTTAGACACATGAAGCCTCTAAGGTTACATGAGATATTAAATTTTGCAATAAAATATTTATAGAATATGATTTTAAAAAGAGTTATAAAATACTTATTACATTTCACTGGTCGACTCTAGTGAGGCCGAATAAAATGTAACATATGTAATTTTATTAGGTTATAAACTTATAACTGCTAAGAGAGTTCAAGTCGTAAACTGGGGTTAGTTGCACGTACTATAACGTACACAGATTTACGCTATACCTACTATTAAAATTTTGAACTTTAAAATTTCAAATTCTAAATTAAAATATGGCGTTTTTAGATAAATATCCACACCGATTTTTTATACGTTACAGTACTTTCCTAATTACTTAATGTTTAATTTATTTAATTCAACGCATAAATTCAAAATTGATCTGTTAAATTTTTAGTATGGTATCTTTTATTTGAGCTTTACAAATAAAAAGTAAAATCTATTTTGTTTTTATGTAATGTTTTGTTAGTATCGGACCTATGTCATTAATAATTTTTAATGTTTAATTACTTATAGCAACACTATACGACACAGATTATCTCAATGAAATACTTTTATGTACTTCCTATATGTCCAGATATTTTATTACATCAGTTCAATGCGATACTTGACGACCGGATGGCGTAGTGGTTTGTGTAACGGACTGCTATTCCAAAGGTCGAGGGTTCGATTCCCGCTCACGTCAAACGTTTGTGTGCATGGACATTTAATGTTTGATTTGGTCTTTGTGTTTCTATGTATAATGTGTACGTATTTACAAAAAAAAAGTATATAAGTATTTATATCAGTTGTCTAGTACCCATAGTACAAGCTCTGCTTAGTTTGGGACTAGATGGCGTTGTGTGAATGTGGTAGAATATTATTATTATTATTATAGCATTTTCATTTTACCTTTTTTAAATCTATACAAATAAATAAATAGGGCTTTTTTTCATGCCAGTTTAATTTTTTTGTCTGTCTGTTTGTTCCGGGTAATCTTCTAATTGGCTGGACCGATTTTGACAATATTTTATTACCAGGTAGCTATCTATATAAGAATTAACTTAGGCTATTTTCCCTCTCTGAAAATCCTTTAAAATTTTTCCCGGTCCAGGAATCGAACCCACAATGGCAGTTCTTTTTAAGTTCACGCGAACGAAGTTGCGGGTACCAGCTAGTGTACAAATAATACCGTAACAGGATCAAATCTCGTCCAATGAAGCGGTATATTCTATGTAGAATTTTAACTAGATCTTTATTATTTTTATAAACTTGAGCATAAATATCTGTTTTAAAATGGCGAAACATCTAAAACTTAAAATACAAACTAAATGTACAATTTTATTTTCATGATAAGTTTTTCATTTATGTTTTCCCCTTTTTTTTTGTATTTTATATATTAATAGGCTATAGCCTATTAGTGTTATCTGCTGAAATATGATATTACAAAACAATATTATGTTATACTATTACTCGTACATGAGTACTTGAAAGACATCTTATTCCATTGCCAAGTTTTACTACTTCAAAAGTGTTTCAGTATTCAAGCCAGGAGGCAAACATCATGTTTGTCTACGTAACTCATTGTTACAAACCTCGTACGCCCCCATCACACCTTTCTTTTGTCATTTTTGTGACAAAGGATTTACAAAAAAAAATATATTCCAAAGGCGTTAAGTAAGCGGGAATAGGATAGCTGCAGAAGACAATTAAATAATAAGAATTGGTTCAAGTTTATAAATAAAACCGTACCTAACTGATTACCAAATGCCAGTACATGTACATAAAAGGAAGAAAATGGTTAACAAGGATTAAAATTGTATAATTAGCTCCATAGAGTAAGGCGAAATTAATTATATTCTCTTGAAATTATATTGAATAAAAAAAAATACCTCAATTTTATTTCCATAGAAAATTAAAATAGAAACTAAATTAACGAAAATTAAATTTACGCAAAAAAAGAGAGCACAAAAAGACTATCATTTAATTAAACTTGACGTGTGACAATGGACTCCCGACATGGTGTCTCGAAGAGGCACGTGAGAGTTGCCGCGCGCCTCGCCTTTACGTGGAGTGGTCGCGTGCCTGCACCTACCAACCGACGACCCACCGACGGCTGCCGAATAGTGCCGAACACGCGCACCAACTGAGGCCGACTGCCACCGACACCGAGAGTCCGAGACCGATCTGCTTTTGTGACTCGTGACAGTCGTGCGACGACCACGCTGCCGATTACACGTTGTTACACATTTTATAATGCAGTGATTATCGTACATCGTGAGACTTTTGTTTAGTGAAGTTTTGTGACATAAATACGATATGGTGACGGGTATCGCGGGCAACCCACAAGCCACCCCCAATACGGTGGTGGTGGTCAATAATATGAGTCCTGGAGTGCAGGAGCAGAAAAAATCTCCTGGGGATGCTAGGAGGGTGAGTTTGTATATATCTTTTTGTTTTGTTTTTTTTTTTACACTATGTACGTATTATTAATGGACAATATTTTTTTCAGTTTTCGTTCATTAATTAAAACACTACCTATTTAAATATAAATATAAGTCGATATGAAAATAACTGATGATTTTTAGGGATGTCTTCATTTTCCGTAGACACAATAGAAGAGATAGGTAATTTCAGTTTAGCTATAGTATACAAAAATACTTATTAGCCAACAATTATTTACGTATTTCATTTAAATACTAATAAAAAATAAATAAAATCTATGATGTATCATAGATTATATTTTTAGTTAAACATAGATCAGGCTAAAATAAAAAATATAAAAAATTAAATACTCCTTTTTTTTTTGCCATTTGCACATTACTAATTATGTACATCAATGGTTAAGTACTACTATACCAGCATTTGAGTCTAAATAGTAGAAATGAAACAAAATCACAGTGAACTGTGATTTATCATTCGAATTTTTCTTACGTAGGCTAGGATTTAATGTTAAATAGGCGAAATAGGGTCCATATATATGCATAGTATAAAAACAGCTTATTGACAACAACGCTTGAGTAAGTAGCAACCCTCGAATACGTTCGAAAAAATCGAATGATAAATTACAGTTCATTCACATTTCACTGTGATTTTGTCCCTAGTCTATTAAATATTACGATAGTGTACCTACCTACTAGGTGGGATCGAAACCTGGCTTTCACAAAGTTAAATGTCCTGTAATACGATACTTATCTTGTTCCTACGTGTTTTTATGAAATGTTTACATACACAGTATTATAAAATATTTAGTAAAGATAGATCGTGCACATAGAGTTAAATAAGTAGGTATAAATTTAGTAGGTACCTACATGGTCTGTCCTCTCATCAATCATTCGTTTTAGCGGAACGTTGCAAACTGCCAAATGATTTGTCACGATCTTCGTCTTGACCTGCAAAATACCTAATGTGTTAATTAAATACGTTTCTGCCTACATCGCTTCTATACGAAGTTAATCTTAGTGACCATAAATCGGTTCAAAACTTAGGTCTAGAAGCAACACTAATAAAAAATTTAACATTTAGTTTGTCTCTACAATATTATTACCTATGTGATTGATGTGATGTGAAATAATAGATTTAGGTATCAGTTTGGCAAAATAGTGTCTGATTTCCAAAAAAAACTACCGTCTAGTCCGTCTATCTGGCTGATTGGGTTAATCAGAACAGTGGTGTATTAGTACAAGCAGTCGCGTGTGCGTTTTTTAATCAAAATAAATACATTGTTATGAACTGCAGTTTTAGATGCACCTCTATAATAAAAACATAGGATGGTAATCAGTTAATAAGAAAAATAATGTAATTTCCTTTTGAAATGTCAGGTATTATCGTACCTCCACTGATAGAAGAGTTACGTGCATAAACAAGTGGTGATTATTGTAATGCTAGTATTGTTATTTTAAATCGATCTTTACAGAGCAAGCAACAATATGATAGGATTAAAAAAAGTACCTACAACTTTGCATACGGTTAGCCCCTTACCCCTGATGCTGCATGGATTATAAACCGTGGGTTATAACAAAAATGACAAATATTAGACAATGTCCTTGTCCTAAAGGTCCACTTCAATCACAGGAGGGACACTCGCTTCGAGATACAACTACTGCACTATTAGTTTCTCCATCCGTAATTTTTAGAGTAATCAAGTAATCTGGTGTTTTTTCTTCTAACACCTGTTATTACAAAAAATGCCAAGCAACAACAAAATCACTGCAAGACTAAGAAGTTATTTCGATATTGTATTTGAAATTTGCAGAAAGACATTCAAAACGATATAAAGTCTCCATCATAAACCCGAATTAGTCTCAGCCTCAACGCAGAGCTCTGACTCGGTCGGTATCTTTTCCCACGCAGCGTCGCTCGGCATCGTTAATCGTGCATTAGCGGGTTAACACCAAATAATGCAACGCTTGCCACCCACATCGCATCCCCTTATCTTCAAGCACCGACGGTAGCGACGCTAGGGTTATCGCAAGCCTTTGTTATGTTTTTGTTCAGTTTTTTTTAAATACTGATAGTGACGACACTGTAAACACAGGCTGTCACGTGTGGTCTTAAGAATAGATAAGTAGAGACTCGCAATTCCTCACGGCAAATGAATAAATAGGTAATATAAAGGTTATGTTTATGTTGTTTTAACTAGTAAAGAATAGAAAGTTCTATTAAGTTTTAGTTGTTTTCGATGGCGTTAGTTATATTTTCTTTTAAAATAATATTATTTATATAGAATGTGACAGTAAAAATGTAAGCATGCAAATATTTAGGTGGCTGAGTTGAATAAAAGCTCAAAAATAGTGGAAAAACCACACAAAGTGATAAATCATGAATGCAATCTTTTGGCGATAACTACGTGTAAACACACACGCAAATAACAACTGCTCTTATGAAAAACAAATACTAAAAAGATATCATTTAAAAACACTTGTTTGTTAGTCAACCCTGATGCGTTCGCAGACTGTAGGAACATCGTGAGTCAGGCGGCGGCAGCGTGGGCTGCGGGCGGCGCGACGCGTGGGCGCCTGCCGTGGGCTAATTGTCGTGGGAACACGAGCCACGGAGATAGGAGTGAAGGAAGGGGGCACATAGACCCCACTCTAGTCTCGCCCACACGACGCTGGCCTACGATATATGCGTCATGGATGTTGGAACTACTGATTCGGTTTACAGCTTCCGATCAGATGACCAATAATAAGATATGATACACAACACAGTACTTCAGAGATAGGAGAATTGATTAAAGAGTTTGCAGGAGAAAAGTTTTGAGGAAAGTAGACTTGATAGTCGATGGATGGTGACGAGCTTCTTTGTTTGTGTGTTTGTATAAACTCGCTAATCTCAAGAACTTCCAGCTCTCGGATTTGAAAAACCTTTTGGACCTGCCTCAATGAGTACTCTATGCAATAGAGTGCTCATTGAGGCAGATAACTTTCTTCTACGTAACATCAGTTTATGGACAGGTCTTAGGCGACAGACATTCGGATTCAAATACATAACACATCACATCAACAGCCTTTAATAGTCCACCGCTGGACATAGAGCAGCTCTATGTCTAGCGTATGTCTATCTTTTCTAAGGAGATCTGCTCTCCTTAGAAAAGAGGTTTAAATACGTAACAGTTACTAAAAGAAGAAATGCCTGAATATCTCAACGAAGTATTCATTCACCCAATTGCCAGTCAATTCGGCCAGTGTTTTAATTAATGTATTTTCTAGGACCCTGTAGTAAGGGTTATCAAGAGTATGAATTACACTTGCAAGTTGCCGTAAGTAGATAATTATGGATGCATAGATAATTACACAGTGTCTATGCTGTCAGCGGACGCGTAACTAAAGGAAGCTATTAAGGAGAATCTGTCTATCTATCTACCCATTCATCATGCATGATGATAAACATCATCGCTGCCGTGAGATAAGTCCGTCGCGTGAGTCCGGCGCCCACGCACACCGCCTACAACGTGCGAGCTTGCTAGATAGGGCACACTTTAAACAAACTTAGAATAAAGGAGAATGTTTCGAAATAGTGCTTTGGGTCTCTACATGAGCAAGAATATCGTCAGAGCCACGTAAATAATAAATAAATCGTTTATTAATGCAAAATGTTACATGATAAGGTAATAACAAAAAAGGACTTAATTTAGGGACACATTTTACAGAGAGCGTATTAATTAAAATTTGTGTTATCCGTTGGTTTATATAAATTGGCATATATCTTTTTAGTCTTGTCATAATCTAAGGTTTGTAATTTATAAATAATATGCCTTGCCTCAGCCGCAGTTTTATTCTGTAAAGCACAATGCCTGGTGACCTCAAGAAAGTCTAGTCCCAAAATCTAGTGTTAATAGATGGGTTGGTCAATCTATAAATTCTAAGCTTTGTGAGTCAATCTCATATAAATATAATACAGATTCAAATTTAAAAAATGTGATTATAGATGACATAGTAAAATTACTAACTTAAATAAAATCACTAACAAAAACTTAGTACCGTTATGAAATCATCACGGTAATAAGGTTTTACGAGAGGTTTCATGGGGATTTTTATCGCGGTGGTCTAAGTTGTAAGCCATTTTTTAAGAGAGTTTTGAATAACCTAACCTGTCTATCTAAATAACCTATGTCCTCTTCTATATAAAAAAAGAAACACTGGTAGGGGGAGTAATTAAATGTGAAAAGGCAGAGAACAAAGAAAACACATTATAATTTTAGAATTCAATGAATTGGCGTATCTAGCGTTTTCGGTATGATAGAGCTACGGCACGGAGCGCGCGTGCCGGAAACTCGGCGTCCGCTCCCACGTTTTGGCACGCGACGCGGTAAGGCGTGTGCCAACCATCACGCCACATGCCAGACGAATAGCACCGGCTAGGTCTTGCTAACGTAACCTAATCAACTAAAAGTATTCGACTGCGGTATTTTGATGATTCAACAAATCTAGGATTATCTAATTAAAAGCGGTTTTTTTGATTTTCCGTTTGTACATACTGCCAACCTACTCGTGTCACTGATTGCTCTATTTTTGCATCTAAAAAGCTGTTGAACTAAACATTGAACAGTACAAAGCCCAAAATAAAAAATAAAATAAAAAATAAAGGGACATAAAATTTGTTAGCATTATTTATGCAAAAAGCAGACTGGCTAGTTTTTTTTTTTATATTGGGTAGTAAAATTGGAAATATCTTTAAGTAAATCTTGTATCAGTGGTTTTGCAAATAATAGTTCCACTCTGTATCTGCATAAGGATAATATTAGTTTACGCTAACATAATCCTGTAATTAGTCACTCATATCAAAGATTACACTAATGAACCCGGAGTCCATTATTACCATTACAAATGCGTTAATGACAAAGGCGGATCTATTGAGGTTGATTAAATCCTGTAGTAACTCACGTTTTATATTAAAACACAAATTTAATTATGCAAAGATTTAAGAGTGCCTACATACCACGGAATATATTATAAATAAGAGCCATTCATTAGATATCTTTATGTCATAGATTACCAGGAACAGTAAACCAATAAATAACATTTGAAAAATTAGTGGTATGATTGTCAAATTTGAGATATGATGGTAACGGTCATAATATGTAAAATCCAAAGATTTTTTATTTATTTCACATCGTTCGAAAATTAAACGTTTCACAAAGAGAGACACAGAGTTTCACAGAGAGAGTTTCGAAAATTGTTTGTGGTTTGCCACAATTATATGCATATATTATGTTCTCTTTAATATCGTGTTATTTTAACGTAGTTATATCGAGTTGGTTTTTTCCTATTTGATTTTATACATTATAAATGAACTAAAAACACAGTAAGTAGGTAGATACAGCTATCAGATATCTAAAATTTACATTAATTGAAAAAAATACTACGTATCACTGAACACGATCACCATTTTATTGTTTGCATTCACCTTAAATTAGTGCAAAGCTGTCACATGGAGAGATTTCGTTGATGACGACGTTAATAACCGTTTGCCGGTACTGGTTGTGTGCCAGATAACAAAATAATCAGAATCAATCAATCTCCTTAAACCATGTTGCCAGGGTGCATCGCATGACTTAGCCGTCTGACTATGTAGTTTGTTTGGAGATCTGTTCATAATCATGTGGGTTTTCGAAAACTTTTCATTTTATAATAATATCAATTGGCAGTCAGTTTATGAGTAACTAGATTATCAGTTAATGATCCTACTTTCATAGCATTCATTAAATAGTCTCACATTCGTGTATCACATATTACCTATATAATAATGTACATGTAATAATAGTATTTTTCGGTGCATTGACTTCCGTAATATGTGTTTCCTGCCACGTTGGTCTTATAGCATAAGTTTGCTCTTGAGTTTGCATGATATTCCAAATGCAGGCCCATTTGATTCGACAAAATTGTTGTTAGGTTTTATGTGACGAAATTTTCAGGTATAAATAGAACTGACTGATATACATATATATATGTATCTACATGTAAAAATATATGTTTATATCCATAACATCAAAACTTTAACATTTTTTATTGCTTTCCGACGTCAGCGCACCCAAAACATCGTGTTCGCATAACCAATTGATGTTTTTGTATGAATTTCGTGGTCGTTAGTCACAAATTAGCTGTCCATGGTCGGCGCTTTGTGTCTGGGCTCAGCAGACAATTGATAACCCTGGTTGGCACGTGTAGTGATCGCGCGGCGCCTCGCCTATATCCATTCTTCGTTGTGAGCCAACCGTTACGTATAGTCGCCGACGATCACCTAACAAACACAACATGCGCTTTATTGCACATACGAGTATCAGATGCCTGTGCACTTTATAAATAGGTATCACGTAGAACGTCTGCTCTAAGTCTTATCTGTATGACACCTGTACATGCTGACGCGAAGTATCGGGGACATACTACTGATGTCACGGAATGATTAGATAACATTTTGTTTTAGGTCATTGGCTTGCTATTGTTGCTTAAAAATATATAGTAGGTAGACGATGATATCATATGCCAGATAAAATCAAAGCATATCAGATAATTTGATATTTGTTTTGCAAAAATATAATAAGTAAAAAGCATCCACGAAAAAAGCCATCCACTCCAGCATATTGTCATTGAGTTTTTAAAGAAGTTATACAACAAAATATATTTTAATTTTCAACGTTTTATTTCACTTGCAGCTAGAACTGAACTATAGTGTACATATTATTGACTACACAATTCATCTGTTAGATTGTTTTTTTCACGTAAACGTTGTGTAAATAAAACGAATACAACAGAATTCATAAGCAATATAAGCAATTTATCTCTATTTCTCTTTTCTTCTGGTCTTTTTTTTCATAGAGGTGGCTAAAACCTATTTTTCACTTTTTTAAATTCCAATGTGCCCTATATAGGCTTACACTTTTATGTCAATGTGACCCAATTAAAGTGGGTGTTGAGTCTATGTTTATAACCTAACGAGTAAGGACATTTATAACTTTGATATTTTGACTATTTCTAAACCACACCGCGGCTCTTATACTTCTGTAGATGAAAATCATTTTTTAGTGGTACACGTGATATTTGAAATACCTTATACTTATATTATTCTTAAACGTGTCGGCACAGCGGCAGGAAAATAGGTGTGAATTGTGAATAGTAGAACGTGTGTGGGTACATAATACGTGTATTGAGTATATCTATGTGGGCTATATCGGGGCGCCGCGACGCACGCCGCTGTGTCGCCACGTGCCGCCTCCGCCATTCGCATTTTACGACGTGCGCGTCGGAAAACCTGACCGATACGATACATGTGTGTGTGTGTATAACTTCGGTCATTATTCTCACCGTTCAAGATATTTGCGATTATTAACTATACCTACATATATATTTTAGTATAGGTATTTACAAATTTATTCAGTTTATCAACCTCACCCCTAGAGGGTAAAAAACGTAAAATTTTCTACGTGTGGTGATTGAAATTTTGTGGTGAAATTTTCTAAGTGGTGAAGTGAGTGAAATCCAATAGTAGAACAAGAGGAGATAACATTAATCATGTCGAGTCAAACACAATCGATTAAGTTCATGCCTAATCTGGTCAAGTTAGTTCCTGCCAAAGACCAAAACTTATGTTTTTCGATAAACAGAGTTAAACCTTCCCGTAACATACCTACCGAGGCATAGCTACTAAGGGCTCTTCCGCACGGCGATATTCATCGCGAGGTTTGTATTATCACGGTATCGCCTTCAGTTTGCATGAAATCACAGTTTTTTTTCCGATTCCATCCGATTAAGATTTTGCATAGGTAATGGAAGTGAACAAAGACTACCTTCCAAGCTAAACCTATTTTTTTTATTAAAATAACAATTGCTTCACTAATGAAGGAATCATTAGTTGAGCAATTGTTATTTTATTTTGTGGACAATTCCAAAAGTTTTTAATCTATTTTCTTCTTTTTTTTCTAATTTAGATCCATTGACCTTAAAAAATATTAACATGATAAATTCTACAACCGAATGCGCTTTTTGCAAGACCTTTATTGCTTAAGTGACCAACATCCAAATCCGTTTACTAGAATCTCAAAAATTCTAGGCATTTTTATCATATAGAGAACCGTTTATTAACATTTATATATTTCTGTCGTCTATGCTTTGAGTGTCGTTAGAAGTTCAATATCTTAGGAACGCGACGGGGATAGTGACGCATCAGTAATTTGCGCAACTATAATTATCGTTCAATCGTAGTTCAAGTCGATTGGATCTTACACAAATTACACGCTCTGCTTTTTGACCGTGTTTTTTTTAAACGAATATTGGGGACATGTGACATGCCATATCTGTTGCCTACTTCCTTTGGTACTTACAAATATTATTTACGAAGACATTTTAGTATCATAAACGATCAAGGAAAACATGTTTTTTAACATTTGTCGTTGACTGCATGACGAGTTATAAAACAGCAAAAATGATATTGAATATTGGCAAGAATTTCAATTTATGTCTCTTACTTACCTACCTAAACTACCTTTAGACTTGATTGGACAGAAAACGATAGAGTCTTGTCATATCACCAGCTCGGATTCACCCTATAATCGGTAATGCACTAGCCGAAATAGCTTTCTGTTAGGTTAACATATTCTTTGTCTTTCTAATCGTTTTGATATCTGATGATATCTGGATAGATTGTAATATAAACTTACTTCTTACTCTTCCCAAATTTATCTTCTGTTTTGTTTTACCTAAAACGATTATATTGTCAAAGAGCCTTGGCGTTAGGCAGGCAGCTGACCGTACAAGAAATCACCCAAAACCCGTTGCAATATTAACACATTGCGCTTAAGCGAATCAAATTTGAGTAAATTTGATGAATCAGGATGAAGATGATGATGATAATGAATGGTCAGTAATGAGTCTTTGAGCAGTTGAACTCCACATTTACTTTACAAAACACAAGCTACCAGGAAAAATTGTTGTAATGATTATGATTAATTTAATCTTCGTTAAAATCACATGTCAAACATGGTCGTGACTGTAGCTGTCTCGACTTGACTACGAGCTGATTATCACAACGGTGTTACATTCAATATGTGTGTCACGTGGGGCGGGCACGCGTGACGCGTCACGTCTTGCCGCGTCAATCACGACTCGACCTTCACCTTGGGCGCACGCGCAAGCTTCTTCGCGCTCGTGCCTTACCATTGCCAGAGCGGCAGCATTGTAGCGCGAGATTAATGTCGCTTTTTGTCACGCGAATTGCTTGGTGTCATATCATAATTAGATAACAATGTTTTTAATGTACATTTGCTAAACGCATGTGTAAGGTTCATACAGACACATTGCACATACACATATTGATATGAGTAATTGTAATTTTATTGAGCGCTTTAATTTCTTTAAACAATGATTGATACATGTGTTTCTGAAAGAAATATAAATCCTAAAATTTAATGAAAATTATATCCTACTTTTTTTAGTTCGGCTAGCTACAAAAGCGTGTTTTTTTGTTGTTTTTAGACTTTAATTTATTTTACTCTATAGTTTAGGGAAGAAAATAACGTAAGTGCGGTTGTCGTTACATTGAGAATTATTCGTATACAATAAGACAAACTAGCCAACCTTCGCTCTGTTCACAATTAATTTGCTACACGTGGGCCAAATAGATTATACTGCTAGTACAAGGATATCTGCCTCGAATTAAATATTAATTTATACCACAGGAAGGTATAATGGAAGATATGAATTAATCGAGTATGTTTGTTTTGTTACAGAGTAATAAGCCAATAATGGAAAAGAGGCGACGGGCACGCATTAACAACTGCCTTAACGAATTGAAGGCGCTAATTTTGGATGCGATGAAAAAGGACGTAAGTGACTTTTAGTTGTTATTTCGTTATTTAATCAAATTGTTAGCTTGCCATCTTGTAGATGTTTTATTCATTTATGGTTTGTGTTTTGTTTGAACCACTTTACGAAATTTATAAAATACATAAAATCGAATTCGAACTTTGTGTTAATTTTACAAACAAAATTTTAGGGAAATGTTTCAAATATAAGTTTTGATAATTGAAAATAAAATTTGACTCTCACCGACATTTATCTCTTGTTACAGCCGGCTAGACATTCCAAATTAGAGAAGGCTGACATTTTAGAGATGACTGTGAAGCATTTAGAAGGCCTTCGATCGGAAGGTGGCGGCTCACCGGACCGGTTTCGTGCCGGATACAGACATTGCGTCTCTGAAGTATCCAAGTTCCAAGGGATAGAGCCTTCGTTAAGGAAGCGACTTGTGCGTCATTTAGAGGGATGCGTTGGCAGCGCACCGGCAGCGAGGCCGCCTGGCGCTCCCACGCCTCCCTCCGACGTCGAGGACACTCTACAAACACAACAACACTCCGCTATTTTAATTTCGGGTAAGGCTACAATACTTTTTCGCTTGCTAAATTGAAGATTGAGATACAAAAAGAAATGAAAAGGTTTTAAATAACAATAAAATGTCTTTCATGTTTAATTGAGGATAAAAACATTATCTTTTTTCGAAAAATACATTATTGAGAATTTTTATGTAATTTTCTCTTTGTTATTTTGGCAAATGCTTTGAACCAATAAATACGTAGGCCAATAACCTTCACCGTGTCATGACAGGAAAACTTTAGATTTAATAAAATAGAAATGTAAGTTATTCCAATCCAGTGTTTTTTTTTTGTTAATTCTAATAGATTTTTAATTGCAGCCGGTCCCGGTTCCGGAGTACGTCTCGTGCCAACACGGCTGTCTAACGGTGACCTCGCGCTGGTTCTTCCCGCTGGAGTAAACGCCAGTACACTTGGCGCTTTACCAACTTTGATACCATTATCTCCACGAGACGCGTCATCATCCACATCATCTGAACCCCGTTGCTACTCTCCCGCTAGCTCAGGTTGGGGTACGCCGCCACCCTCAGCGGAAGACTCAGCTCCTTTAGCTCTGGTAACTAGAAAAGAACCTGAAGAGAAGCCTTGGAGGCCATGGTGACGCTTCCTTCATTCCTCTTTGTAATGCTGTGATATGTAGTTTGTATATAGTATGTCAACTGTGACAGAATATAGTTCCTTGGTAGATAGATTATTGTGTCAGAATTATGATAATTGAGTTACTTGTGCGGTCAGTTCAGAAAGTGTAATAGATTTATTTCGATATAAAATGATGTACCTAGATAGTCTTTAAATAAATGCTTTTATATTCCTTTCTGTTTAACAAGAGGTTACTTTTAATATTATGATTAAGTAATAGTATTAAAACGATCGTGTAAATTCGTGGATGACATCTGAGGCAGTATTTCATGTATCATTTATGTAAAAGGCGTAAGTTTTTACTTCGTATTCATATAGTTTTAAGATGTAGTAGTGCCATTATAATTAGTTTGGTTTACAACTTGTTTTTATTGATTCAGAAGTTCATATATTGTCTTATTAAGTATTTTAAATATTTCTAACAAGTACTCTGACCTAAAGCCACATGTGTTTTGATGATTTCATGGTTGTTTCAAAAAGCAAAAAGGAATAATTTATTTATTTTGAAATTCAATTATATTTAATTTGTTTTAAAGAAATTATTTTAATTGTCATGTCGCTTGCTTTACATACCCGAAAGAGCTTGTTAAACTTATCAATATTTGTAATGAATAATTGTATAGAAAAATATAGCTAGAATTAACTTGTTACTTAACCTATTCAGCAGTGACAGCCGCATTTTGTAAATACATCCACTTTCTATAAATATCTTTCGCGCTTTTAGTACTCAATGAATGTGCCTAAGTGTATATAGATAATTCTGTGTGCCTTATACAACAAAGTCATATAGTCTTCCATTCATATTCATAAGAACTAAGTTTGTTAAGGCTATAAACGTATGATTTAATGAGCGTTGCTATTATTATGTCGAATATCCTTAACGAGATGAGCTCAATGGTCAGTTATGTCTAAAGTACATCGTTTTTTTGCCAAACCGCGTACAATAATAAATGAGAGGTAGACATACGGCACACGTACGCTAGAGTAAAAGAGTTTTCAAAACAGAAAGCCGTCAGCCATCATTTTTACGGAACCTCTCACGACTTTTACTGCTATAACTTCGTGTTTTTTAAACAATTTTTGTCCTTCGGTTTGCTATCGATTAGAGGTTTTTATCAATTGTCTATTAAATTGGCTAGCTTTTTGTATCTGTTAGTTTTTATGGCGTACAACGTCAAACGGCGTACAAAACACAGATACAATCTTTGTACATATATTTAGGTATATGTATAAACATTTAAAATTCTGTCAGAATGTGACTAAAAGTAAAAATAATGTTTTATTTTTAGTTAAGTATATATCTATAAAAGCAATGTTACAGATATGTAATATTACATGTTATAGCTAATTTTAGCAATTATAGAAATTAAAATTTAGACTATCTCAGTTTAACCTAGTTCCATAATAATTGCTATGAGTTCAATGGTATACCTCTCATCAAAGATGGGATAATTGAACATTTTGGGTCGTAATTTTGTGTTACCGAAGTTAACCAGATAGTGTTTAGTCTTCCTTAATTAGTTACCGTATGAGGACAGTTTATATTTGAATTTGTAAATATTTTGTATGATTAAAGATTCCGTAAGTAATACTTAAGTTTTTATAAAGTAGAACAAGTGTATCTGTGGAAGTTGAATAAAATATTTAATTATGTATATAACAAGTTACTTATCATGTGTTAAGTATAAATATTTTTAACAGTGCCGTTTCAATGTAAATTATTATAAACAAGTGATATTACTTAAGATTACATGTAATAATTATAAGAAGATGTACCTAAAAGAATATGCCATTAATCTAGAAATAAAGTTATAATTATAATAAAGACGTTTTATTTTACTGGTTAAATAAACAAGAGCTGTCCAACTTTGGCACTGCACCACTGCGCTTTTCAAGAAGCTTTTTACCTCGCACACCCTATCTGTGGAACAAATTGCTGGCTGCGGTATTTTTGGATCGATACAACTACCAAACCAAACATTAATGCTCCAAACTTTCAAGAAAGAGCGTACTGCCGCCTCAAAGGTCGTCAACGCCCTTGTTACTCCTGAGTGCACAGGGAGTCCATGGCGGATATAATATTTTAAGAGAAAATTTAACATATTTTCACTGCTAAAAGTAAATTATATAATTGATTTCGTCGACTGATTTATGATACACAAGCTCACTTAGAGCTTGTGTAAATCAGTCTAAGCTCTAAGTGACCTCTAATTGATACTATTTCTTCATAGTATTAAAACGAACTAGTTGGCTTCTAGTTTCTGCTAGTCTAGTGCTTCATCTGAATCCAGTTTAATAGTTACGACTGTATACGTAATTAAATATATAGTTCTTTTTTAAAACAATACAAGGCCTAAAAATACTCGCAAGGGTCACTTGTGCTGCCATTCCTATTTTCTCTATGCTTTATAAAGTTTTGGCGATCTTGTTAACCAACTGCACCTTTACCATAATTTTTTTACCCTTTACCATAAATTTCGGAGTAAATAAATTAAGGTTATGTTGTCCCATTGATGTAATGCATAAACGAAACTATTCGTTTGTTGTTTAAAATAATAATATAATAAAAATATCATACGGCCGTTTGATGCGGATCAGACCATAGAGCAAGGATCAGACGGCTGAGTGTGAGGTTCATCCGTTCATAGCTTAGTTTGAGAACTAAAGCAGAGCCTGTGCTATGGTAATCAGATGTCTGATCTCTTAATTTACTTAATAGTTCTTCTTTATTTAATAGTTGTTTGCCACAAACTACATTTAAAATTAAAGAGTTGTCGGGATATGTTTTCTATACGATTTCATAACTTAATAATGAAAAAGGGCACTTGTCATAACTTCCTGTCCGTTTGTTTACGGAGTCTGAAGCAAAGTAAACTTGAGTTTGTTAAACGACTTAATAAAAAGTATATGCAGAATATCAAAAGTTTAAGGGTACACCCGTTTGACTAAATTCATGAAATTTAGCCAAAAACAAAAAAGTAATAATAATAGATGTAACTCACAATAAGGAAAGTAATCATTATTATCCGATGTTTGGTATATAAAGCCTTATTTGTTAAACCGATTTTTATTAATTGTTGAACGAAAGGGTGTCTCAGTAAGAGTGCACTTTAAAATTTTAAACATTTTAAAATAAAAACACGTATTTTTTGAAAGAGTTGTGGTATTTTTATTGGATTGTAAAGAAGACATGGTCCGATTAAGTATAGAATAAAATATAGGGCAAATAGCCCCCAGGGCTCTGATGACAGGCCATCTTTTTAAGAAATTTTCCATGACTTTTACATAGAGATATGGCTGTACCTTACCGATGACGCGTTGATCTCTGGTTTGAGCTCAGGAATTGTTTCTGGTTTATTCGCATAAAGCCGAGATTTCACAAAACCCCAAAGAAAAAAATCACACGGCGTTAAATCGCACGATCTTGGTGGTCAGTTGACATCAGAATTTCGTGAGATAATCTGTTCTGGAAATTGTTGCTGCAATAAGTCGATTGTTTCATGCGCGGTGTGGCAGGTGGCGTCGTCCTGCTGAAATCACATGTTGTCCAGGTCCATGCCGTACAGCTGAGGCCACAAAAACTCCGTTATCATATACCTGTAACGAATGCCGTTCACAGTCACTGCAATTGTGGTCTCATCTTATAAAAAGTGAGGCCCAATCACGCCGCCTGACCAAAATCCGCCCCAGGCAGTTGCTCGTTGTGGGTGCATTTGTCTCTCATGGATTGCATGAGGATTTTGAGCCCCAAATTCGACAATTTTGTGTATTTACGTAGCTATTCAGATGGAAATGCGCTTTATTGTAGAAGATGACTTTTATTGAAAAAATTGGCATCAACTTCACTTTGCTCCATTACCCATTTTATTTTGAGCTCCTGAGTTAGCTGAATCTTGTACGCATGAAGGTGGAGGTCTTTTGTCAAACTTCAAACATAAATTCTCGTTTTCAGAAGCAATGTTTTCAAGAGAACGACCGATACGTTGACGCAAAGGATTCTTAATATCCATAATCAACCCAGTTTCTTAAAATTTTTAATGGTTAACACATTAGGTGCACTTTCTCGAGCAGAAGCAGGCCGGGGTGGCGGCGAGCGCGTTGCGAAGCGCGCTCGCTTCCAGGGAGCAGAGGGAACATGGGGTTCCCCCACGGGGGGGGGGGGTCGTCTAACTGTTGTTGTAGATGGCCCGAGGTATGTCGGGGCACCAGGGACTTCCTTTCTAGGGTATACCTGGTTCCCCGGCTATTAGTACCCGAGACGGCTTGCGGTTTTAGTCGGTTCGAGTCCAACATGACACCGATATGTGGTATCCGAGGGGATTTCCGCACGGAAAAAAAAGGTGCACTTTCTCGACTGAAAATTTCACAGTTTGCGAGCGGTTTCAACGTAACTTTCCCCATTTTTGTAATGAGTTTGCACAATTATAACGCTCTGTTCTTTGTTCTCAAATTTCAGAGTTGACAATTGCAAGAAAAAAAATGATTCTAAATTTAAAAAGTGCTGTTACTGAGACACCCTTTATTAATTAACAGTGTTGGTTATCTCTTTATATTTGAGTTTTTTTTTGCATCAAAGCTGGTGGTCCTTGAGGCGCATAGTAATTCGTAAATATACTCAATTATGAGGAGTTTGTTTGCACTGTCCCTACACTAATAACAGACTATTGAAGAATTATTGCACCAACGCCTATAATTTGCCCGGGACCCGGGACTTAATTGTTTATACAGACATTTAATGATGGTACATTTTATCAGACAGTCAGTCGTGAGAATCGCATGTTAAAATAAGAGATTAAATTAGGCATAAATCTCTAGCTAGCTCTGTTCATTTGTTTTTGCTCTTAGTAAGTTAATATTTCAGTAGATATTGTGTAAGTGTGCAGATATAGCGAGCCCAGTATTCGAGGGGTATTAGACTAGTCTGGGGACTGAAATATGCTCACAATAAAAGACAGATAGAGT